TCTGGAGACCAGGCTGGCCTCGAACTCACAGAGATCTGCCTGCCTCTGCCTCCCGAGTGCTGGGATTAAAGGCGTGTGCCACCAACGCCTGTCTCCTGCCAGCTTTTCTTAATTTACATTTTCCAGTCTACTTTTTGCCTTTGGGCTTTTCCCTTTCTCTTGCTTCTATCATTGTTACTTTTTGTCTTTGTTTTGGTGTATGGCAAGGTGGCTGGCTCCTTATAGCTTCCCTCTTTGGGTACTTCTCTCTTCCTCCACCTCCCTTTCTTTCCTCCTATACATCCTCTCTGCCTGCCATCCTGCCTATCCTTCTTTTCTGCTGCCTTATTATTGGCTGTTCAGTTCTTTATTAGACCATCAGGTGTTCTACACAGTATCACAGCTAAACAAAGTTAAACAAATGCAACATAAACAAAAGGAACACTCCTTAACTTAATTTGTTAACACATTTGTTCTACAAGAGAAATGGTTTGTTAGAGCTACAGTCTGTGGGAAGCAGAGACACACACTCAAGAGTAGACAGTATAGCAGAGACTCACAAGCTCAGGACTAAATAATATAGCAAAGACTCATAATGTGAAGGGCAGATAGAATAGTAGAAAGAGACATACTCAGGAGCAAATAATAGAGCAAAGACAATGTTGACTGATGGCTATAGCTTCTTATTGGCCAGCTCTGTCTTAAATATTAACCCATTGCTATTAATCTAAGTATTTGCAGATGGTCTTAACCAGACAAAGGTCTAGACCTATTAGTTCTTCTTGGCTATGTGGTGTCTCTTTCTGCCTCTCCCCCATCATTCTCATCACCGTCTATGTTCTTGCCACTACTAGCCAATCAGTGTTTATTCATCAACCAAGAAGAGCAAGATAGATACAGAAGGACATCCCCCATCAATGTGGTGCATGTATGTCTGCTGCCTTTGTTAATGATGGGAACTTTTAAAGATGTGTTGCATTTGTTTCATCTTGCCTGCCTAAGACACCTGATTGGCTTAATAAAAAGCTGAATGGCCAAGCCCTAGGCAGGAGACGGATATGTGGGGCTAGACAACAGAGACAATGAATAGGAAGAGAAACCTGGGCTGTAGGAAAAAGTGAAGAGAACAAGGGAGAGAGGGACAAGGCAGGGCCAGAAGCCAGGCAGTTTCCAGACAGTCATGGAGACAGCAGCAAAGTAAGTCTAACAGAGAAAAAGAAGGGTAAAGAGCCCCCAGGGAAAATGTAGATGAAGAGAAACAGGTTAAGTTGTACTGGGTTCCTTGAAGGTTTCTGGCCCCCCTAATAGTGGTTGTGACCTCATGAGTAAAAGAGTCTGGGATAACTAATAACTGGGAACTGTTTAGTAATAGGAGCTGTTTTCATGATAACATGAGGATAGTGAGTTTCAAGAGAATGTAAAATGTGCTAAAACTGAAAAGCCAATAGGTGGTGGTCTTAAAAATATCTTATAAATTTGTCAGTTTGGGGCCCTTTTCAGGCTGAGAGATTAGTGTAAGGGAGGTGTTGTGGAATATTCTTTTTGTACACTGTGAAGATGTGTGCTTGCAAAGACAACTTGTGATTGCTTCAGTAAAAACCTAAATGGCCAATATCCTAGACTTCTGTACAGAGACAGGTGTCAGAAGAAGAAAGGCAGAGAGACACCAAAGGAGAAAAAATTGCGAGAGGACAGGTAAAAACCACAAGTCACTTGGCAATATGTAGACAAAGAGAAGTAGATTAAGTTATAAGAGCTATGGGATAAACCTTAGGTATAGACTGATATCTCCTAATTAATAAGTGTCCATGTTGGGTTGTTTTTGTTTTTGTTTTTGTTTTTGTTTGAGCTGGCAGCCCTAAGAACAATCCATCTACAGAGTTGAGTCAGCACATTCTGAGTGAACAATGACAACTCAAAGAGATATCGAGTACCACTCTGACTACCCCGGAATTTAGAACATGTTAATGCACACATAGACTTCTCCCACACCTACTAAGTTACGTTACAAGTTAAAGACCAACCTGTGTTAGCCAGGCAGTGGTGGCGCACACCTTTATTCCCAGCACTCGGGAGACAGAGGCAGGCAGATCTCTGAGTTTGAGGTCAGCCTGGTTCACAGAGCGAGTTCCAGGATAACCTCCAAAGCAATACAGAGAAACCCTGATCAAAAAAACAAAAAAGAGAAAAAAAAAAGCCAACCTGTGTCTCTAAACTTTTGATAGACTGGTTCTTTATATATGGCTGAGGATTGAATTTGTCTTTAAACAAATCAGGAACTGATATGATGTTATATATCTATAGGCCAAGTTACAGCCTCAGGTATAACAATGACATGTATATGAATGTATGTATGTATGTATATGTGTCCATATGCAAATACCAATACTGACAGTATTTCCACAAGAAATGACTGATACTGCAGAAAGTAGGAAACAATAAAGACTAGTAATCAATGTATTTCTTTTTTAAGTAAATTAATGATTTTCTTTTTTAAATTTAAATTAGAAATAATCTTATTTTACATATCAATCCCAGTAACCTCTCCCTCCCATCCTCCCATGCCCCCCACTGACTCCACCATCCCATCCCACTTCTGCTCCCCAGAGTAGGTGAGGCCTTCCATGGGAAATCATCAAACTGTC